GAGTTGACTTTCTCAGAACTCGAATCTTCGGCGGCTGGCCAATCCTGCTTGATACCGTGGTAGTAGACATCTCCTCCATAATTGCATGGTATAGTTTTGTCTGACGAATATGGGACTGGTCTAGGCATTGTGATTATTAAAGGAGTTTCTTTTGGAACTGATGTAATTCTAACGGGTCTTTTGGTGGAGACCCTGGAAGAATTGGTGGAAATGGTAATGATAGAAACATCTTCAAAAGGAACAGGTGGAACAAAAGTCTTTTCAAACAAAATTTCTTTGTTATCTATTAGGCACTGAATGCCCGCTTTCAACAAAGGACGGATGGTTGGTGAGGACAAACAGAAGTGACAAACTTCATCACAACCCAGGAACACACCAGCATTCAACAAGTTCACTTTAATAGTCAGAAGTGGGGTCATTGGTATTATGGCCATGTCTGGGAATAGGGGTAGAAATGACATTTGGCTTTTTGGGCGCATCGAATTCAATCTCTTTTGCTTCAATGAGGTCTTGTATTTTGTTCTTTAGAGCCCAATAATTATTAGTGTCATGGCCGGGACTTTCAGAGTGATATGCGCAACGGGCATTGGAATGATAGTGAGGAGATGTTGTGTTGGGGTTTTTCAGAGCTTCTTTCAAGGTCACAAAATTGGATCTTAGTAGATGCGGTAATACTTGAGACAAGGTCATGTTAATTCTGGTGAACTTCCTGACCGGTCTTTCCATCCTCAGTTGATTGTTTCTTTGCTGATCAGGCGCAGGTTTAGGAATCATAACAGCCCCACCATTGGATGGAGTTCGGCCCTATCTTGATTTCTTTGCGGATATACAAAAACCACCTCTTTCTTTCCGGTGAAAGGCTTCCTTACAGCTGCGGAAGGGGATGTATCTTTTTGAATCTTTCCACTCTTTATCCCGGCTTCTACACTTTCTCCGATCAATATCAGTTCAATAAAACCCGCCGATGAACTCCCAATTAGGTGATTGAATAAGGGACCAGACAAGGTGCCCAAGAACATGCCCACTAATTCTCTTTCAAATAGGGGAGGTTAAACTCTTCCAGCAAGTCTCTCCATTTTTGCGCATAGTCCTTGAAACCTTCATTGGAAACCACAACCATACTCTGGAGTTGAGTACGGGTAGGCGCAAGATCAGCATTGTGTTGGTATTGTTTGTAGAAGGCTGCGACAAGATCTTCCCAGTTATGAACATTGGCTCTTTCTAACTGGTAAAACCAATCAAGTTGAAATCCAGACAGGCTGTCTTAGAAGAAGTGTACCCATAAGTCTTTGTCAGCGGTATGGGGCTGGATTTTCCTCACATAGGACCGGAGATGCATTTTAGGGCATGAGACTCCGTCATAATTGGAAAACACAGGTGCTTTGAATTTGGGAGGAATGATAATCCACGACACTAACCCCAATTCCTCAAAGTCCAATCCAGGCACTTTTTGGATTTCCATCGCACTCAACCGCTCTTCGAGATGTTTATACTTGTCATCAACTGGAGGGTATTGTTCTTCAGAATAGTCTTCTTCTTCCTCTTCCTCTTCTGATTCTGACGGGACAAATGTTTCCTTGCCTTTCCCATCTTGATTGTCTCTCTCACCGGATGTCGTTGCAAATTCTAGGGTCCTTCTTGTCTGCCCATGAAATCTTCTTCCCATGTTTGGGACTCCGGTTACCTTCTTTGTCTTCTTTTTCTTCTCCTCAGCCAGCAAAGTCTTCAACTCTTCTTTTCCTTTGGCTAGGGTCAAGAGCAACTGTTGAAACTGTGTATTCTGAGCTTGGAGGTCCTTCACTGTTCCCTCAAGATCCATCTTACTGAAATAAATAATAGAGAGATGAGGAGGCTTGTTGCAAAAGACCTGCTTATGTTGTGATGAATGGTATATACATATGTAATGATTTCAAGGATTTCAAAGATTCAAATTTGTTTTAGACAAAAAGGAAACACACGTTATATTAATAAGTTAAAGTTTGAGTACATCAATACCTCTTGGGCTTATACAAAAGCTCTAAGATAAAAAGGTAGTGCACATCCTCTTTGGTGCGATGTAGGCATTCAGACTCTGCTCCTCATGAAGTAGCCTAGTGAATTCCAAAACCTTCTTCTCGCTTACATAGAATTGGGCTTCGAAAGTGTCTCGCTCCCCCTTGAGTTGTATCCAATATCTTTGTAGGTCTTCAAGAGAGGTGGGCATATCAGGATGTAGGATAGTGTATGGAACATCTCCCTCCATGACAGGCTCAATGATTACTGAGAGAATGGAGGGGTAAGGAATCATAAGACTCTGAGAACGAGTTCGTACCCATTTGAGGTAAGGCTCAAGAGAGATGGAATTTTTGTGCCCCAAAGTATTGCTATCCACCTTGTTTAACATCCTCAAAGCTCGGATAAATCTCTGGCGAAGACCTTAATCGTCGTTGTCGTAGTCAAATACCAAACCTTGAATCAACATCTTGTGCAGGCCATCCCTTCGGGCGTAACCAAACTGTCTTAAGGCTAAGCAGGGGTTATAGGTGATACCTCCCCTAATGCCAAGTAAAGGGACATTAGAGAATTCTCCACAACGGTCGACAATGATAACATTCTCTTTGGATCGGGGAAGATGCAAAATAAACCATCTTGCCAAGAGAGGAGTGCAACACATAAGGACACCTATTTTCCTCATTGTGCGAGTGTGAAAAGAGTGTAGGATATCTCCTAGCAATGTAGGCACCGGGTTACGGGATATGAAGATTTTGACGGCGTTGACATCTATGAGTCGGTCAGTATTTGGAAATAAAACCATCCCATAGATGAGGAGAGCCACAATTTACTCAAAGGCTTGCAAGTCCAACGAGTTCCAACAGCTTTGGGCTTTCTCAAACAGGAACTTTGCTAAGAAACCATTGACACCACTCCTTGTTTCCCAATGAGTTGTGATATCAGATGAGTGCAAGTGTAGAGCTTGAGCAATCTCTTCTGGCTTTGGATCTCTTTCCGTACCGTTGAAAGGTAGTTGATTGAGAATAAGAATCCTCAAGAATTGGGAGAATTCTTCCAAAGTTGGCACAAGTTAATAATCAGGAAATGTGAAGCAATAGTGTAAAGGATCAAAAAACTAAAAGAGCACCTTCATCATGTCCTCATCTGTGTTGGAGGTGACCAATTTGAGTAGGCGACCATGTCTTTCAGTGAATGGAGAGTTTTCAGGAATCCTTGAAGCTAGCTCCTTGAGTTGTGGATGGATCCTTACAAGATTGACTTGAATATTTTTCCTGCGAAGTGAATCCATATCCTACAAAACAAGAACAAAGATGAATCCCAAAATCCTTGAAATGGTTAGTGGATGTATATGATGTTCATGATGTTCATGATGTTATGTACAAGTATGCATATACAAACAAAACAAACAAATCCTTAGTTTTAGGCTTGCATGGAGTTTTATAGGTAAGTAACCTCTTGAAGTTTAGTTGGCTTAAACATGTCCTAGTAATAGTAATCGGGTTCTAAGGAGCTCAATATCACTGGTTTGTTTCCTTGGTCATTGTTTCAGCACAAGCCTCTTTAATGGCGACCGAAATATCCCAAGAAACCAAACCTCAATGAGTGTAGTATCGAGTATCTACCAACTTCGGACTACACCAAAGCCGGTCATCTCACTACATCCTAAAGTCCAAGTTGGTCAAGTAAAGGTTCTAAAAGTTCATTAGTGCTTTATGACATCACTCAGCGGCTCCCTATTCTATTTGATTAACTCAAAGGCTACCGGTACCCACAAATATGTCGCACTAACGTAGCTATTGCTTAGACCATGTTGGTATACCCCACAAAGTTTCCACAACATATTGCTACTTACCTATAATGTATCCCAAATCTGGGTAGAGGATTCAAACCCAAACAAAGACCCATAATGTATAGCATACAAGTCAAACAATGTAAGCAAATAAATGTGATCTAACCCTAAGGTAACCCCACTTTTATAATTTTCCCCAGCAGATTCGCCAGTTCTGTGATACGGTGGGAGAACTGACTTGAGGGTTTTGCGTATGATCGCAAATGTCGCAGTTAGCAAGAGTCACCACCGACTTTTCTTTTATCCAAAAGGAAAGGTGAAAAAGCACAGGAAAGACCTTTGAGATTGTTTCTTGAGTTCAGGAGGTAGATTTTGAAAAGGGAAGGTATTAGCACCCTTTTCATCCATGGTTTTCCACAGGCTCTTAGTTACTTGCTAGATCACTTCCTTTTGTTTGAAATTATGCTTTGTGTGGTTTTTGAAAGTATTTTGTAAAGAAGCCATTGTTTAGGCAATCTTTGTAATGATTCTCGTTCGTAAGAATGTATACAAAGATGTTTGATCTTTTTTTAAAATGTTTTCAATTTTGTAAGATGTTTGAAAGTGTATGTGTTTGTTTTGAAAATAGCAAGGATGTTTTTTTTGAAATGGAGCAAGTAATTTAGGAGCAATTTACCTACTCAAATGTCTTTCTTGTTCACTTTCTTTTCCTTTGACATTGTTGTCTTACCATTGATTTGGTAAGCAACCCTATCTTTAGATGTAAACAGGACGGGCGTGGGTCATCGTATAGCCAAGATTAGCAATGTTGCAAGGTATCTTAGCATTCTTTTTTAGGGACTAAGATCATTTGTACACTACAAGAAAATTAGGATTTTACGACACAAAAATTGCGACAGTTACTTAATAACCGTCGTAATTCTAATATAGGGACCCATGTCACGACGGTATACACCTACCGCCCTAAAATGAATGTTGCGACGGTTAAGAAACCGTCCTAAAATAGACATCACGACGGTAAAACAACCGTCGCCCCCCTAAACCTTTAAAAAACATGCAAAAGTTATGAAAGGGAACGACGGTAACCACACCCGTCGTCCCCCTAAATCCTTTACCCCGCTTCGTCTATTTCTCTTTTTATTTATTGTTCACGTATCTTTCTCCAAATTTCTTCATACTTTTGCTTTTTCTCTGTACAAACTTCAACCACATCAATTCGATGAGAACCTTAAGAAGCTTCGATGGCTTCCCTTTAAATTTGAGCAACTTCTATGGTGGCTGCGCTATTCTTCTTCTTCTTGTTGTTGTTGTTACTTTATTGTTTCTTCTGAACCGTAAGAGCAGATCCCTGTTGGCGTCCTCTTTGATCTCCGATTCTAGCAATTTAAACCCAAGGTCTACTACTCTACTTTATTCATTTTATTTTCGTTCAATTTCATACGCTTTACTGAAATTGGGGCTTTTTAGGGTTTACAATTGCAGAACCTCAAACACTGTCACTGATGCTGATTTGAAGTTTTTAATGGATGAAATTCTAAATCAGAACCATAAATGGGAGGATGTCATAGATAAAACAAATCATCATCTATGCTACAAAGCTAAATCCACCAAACCTAAGGTTAAACTCTCCACTCACTATCGCTCATACCTTTCCTGCTTCTTTTCAACTATCTAAGACATGAAAAACTAATACTTTAACTAGACACCCGCTGAAGAACTTGTTGTCCTTGGATGTTGCAGAATGGTCCCCTGAAATATTGGAGTATGACTGTGTTCAATGATATTTCCGCCGAGATGCTAAGAAACTTCTACATGGACAATCACTACAGAAAGCAATGGGATAACACTGTGGTCGAACACAATCAGCTGCAGCTGGATGAATCTGATGGTTCTGAAGTTGGTCGTACAGTTAAGAAAATAGTGTGTTTTGTTTCTGTATGTTGTTATGAATCGCAATAGCTTAACATGGTTTTCTCTTAAGATGCTTAAGATGTATGTTTTCTTAACTGAACCATATATGAAAATGTTGAATTGTTGATTGTTGCAATTATAGTTTATTAAAAAGAATTGAGCAGGAAGGCGGAGATGAGAACATTGAGGCAGAAGAGGCTGTGATTGGATTTTGGAGTGGATTTGCTTGGTTGGCTGGAATGACCGTGTTCACTGCGTTGTTGTCTGAATACGTGGTCGATACAATTGAGGTATTTCAATTTAATTGCTTAGATCTAATTTGGAATTCTTTTGAATAAACAGCTCAATTAAGCACTTATTTAATGAGCGTATCACATAATCAGTTATGCATAAGTCAGGAGCAGGTTTGGATTGACTTATTGTAAGGCTGTTTGGTAGAGCTTACAATATGTCCACATGCTGTTTTCAGCTTATTTTTCTAAGCTCTTCATGATAGCTTTTATAAAAATAGTTTATAGCTTATACGAATTTTTTTTGGCTATTTTATCTTTTGTTGTAGAAGTAACTTATACATAAACACTTATATGATAAGCATTTATGCTTTAAATGTGTAGTTAAACTGTTTACCAAACAAGGTCCTATAATCAAATATGAAATGTGTTTAAACTGTTTTTATATTAGTTATAAATCGTTTTGCTAAGCTTATAGAGAGTTTTTACTAAAATAAGCTTAAAACAACTTATAGGCGTGTCATAAACTATTGTTAACAGGATGCATCAGATTCATGGGGTTTATCAGTGAGCTTCCTCAGCATAATCTTGCTTCCAGTAGTTGGCAATGCAGCTGAACATGCTGGAGCAATCATTTTTGCTTTCAAGAACAAGCTTGTAAGAATTTATATTATAGTGTTACTCAATTCCATACTTAATCCTTTCATTTAACATATGATTAAATTCATATTTTCCAAGCTATAAAGTTGATGAATTGAAAGGAAAAAACAATATTCAAGTGAAGCTGAACTAATTTCATGACTGCAGGACATTTCCTTAGGTGTTGCATTGGGCTCTGCTACTCAAATTGCCATGTTTGTGGTAAATAAATATACTCTTACCTTTATGGATAATTTGATTTTAAATTGCATTTACGATTACGCTGCATGTCTCTTTATATTATGAGAAGTGCAGCTGAGATACCGTTGCAGAATCCTCACAGTCCTTTATATTGCGGCTACAATTGTTGTTGCAGACTACAATTTAAAACATATTCGGATAGTTGTCTTTATTTGAATTATAATGACACATATATAATATTAAAATTCAGGTTCCCCTCTGTGTTACTGTTGCTTGTGGAATGGGAGTGAATATGGACCTAAACTTCAACCTCATTGAGACAGGTTCTCTTGCTGTGGCAATTATAGTCACAAGCTTCACTTTACAGGTATGTAAATTTCACATCCAATTAAACAAAACACCAAAACGGTAATAGTAATAGAACCATCCCAAATAAAACTCACCACTGGAATTTATATATATAATATGGAGAAAGAGCCCGATATATGCTTGGATTCCACTTGATGACGTTGTAAATGCCAATCGTGAAAATAGATAGTAACCATAGGATGATTATGGGAGGAAACATGAAAGCAATCGCGTGGGAGCCACGGTGTTGCAAAATAAAGAGACCAACCAGTAGAACACAGGAAATAAGAGGCATCATACCTGCATAGATTAGAAGCGTAAGTTGTAATGGAAAAATCACCTATGCTGCATTTGACATATATTTGAAACATTGAAAACTGTGGGGTAACTTTAGTGGGAAATTTCAGAATAAATATCCTAGAGTGATTTTGTTTATACTGAAGAATGGTGGATAGCAAGCTTTACTGAACTTCTTGTAAACAATTCTCCATGTCACATTTGCAATAGTTTGTGCCACCTCCTAGTTTGTGCCAACTTCTTTTTACGTATATATGGAAGTCCATGATTTGATCAAGAGGTTCTCCCCCAATATATTATTCTTGTTATATAAACAATAGCTCAATTTTTTCTTTTTCATGTGCAGAAAAAATTACAAGCTGCAATTAAGGATTCTGTGTCTGAAAATGAGGCATTTCAGAAAGTATTTGGAAAAGAAAAGCATGGATATGTTCGTAGTATGGGACTTGGAGTTACACCATCTCAAATTAATAGATCTACGAGATCGACATCTTCTTCTGCAGAAAGTGAACAAATAAAGGAAATGCAAGAAGAAATTAATGCACTTAAAGAAAAGAATTCAAAAATTGATGAATTAACACAGGCAATCATATTCTTAACGCAAAGGGACAAGGCGAGGACAAAGGAAAATGAACTCTTAATGCAAATGCAGAATTTTAGTGGAAGACAGGTATATTATTTTGACGCATTTAAAGTTAAATTTTATGAGTATTATTTTAAAGATTATTATTTTAATACCTTTTTTTAGGGATTGGAATCACCCGCTGATGGTAGACGTTCATCTGAGTCTAGCTACCATATTGGAGATAATGGAACTTCAGGGGGGACAAATTAGACTTTGCTATGATCGAGATAATTAGATTGTGAACTTTCTCATGTATTTTTGGCATAATGATACTTATTATTATAAGATTAGGAATTGATATATTTTGGGTTTTTTGTACTACTTGACATGATTATGGAACTCGCATTTTACATGATTATGGAACACACATTTTTTTGGATATTATAATGCTTATTTGATGTTAAATATTTTTTATTGAAATTATTTTTACTATATTACAAAGTGATAGAAAATAAAACAAAAAATAATACTATAAATAAATATATTAAAGAAGAAATAATTTAAAGAAAAAAATAACACAAAAAAAAACTATATTTAAAATTTTTTACATAGATAATAATTTAAATAAAAAATATATATAATAGAAAAATAAAAAAAAAATCAAGACATAAACAAAAGTCATGGCGACAGTACCAAACCGTCGTAATCAACAAAAGTCATGACGGTATCGAACCGTCGCCATAAACAATTTAATCAATTTCAAAAGATATTCACGACAGTATCGAACCGTCGCCATCAATAATTAAAAGAAACTCAAAAGATAGTCACGACGGTATCAACCCGTCGTAAACTTGAACGACAGTTTTTGTAACCGTCGCGAAATAGGTTGGGGACACACACTTCTGCGACGGTAAAGCAACCGTCGTGGAAAGCAAATTGCGACGGTTTTAACCGTCGTGATCTACAAAAATACCTGTCGCAATCTGCCAATTTTCTTGTAGTGGTAAGGCAACTTAGATAGCGTCATCGAGGGACTATGATCTTGTATTTGCTTTTTTTGCTAAGATACCTTACATGCGTAATATGGTCATTTTGTATAAGGCAACCAAGTGGGATACCCCTAGGGGTTCTTGTGTGCAAGTTTATTGTTTTCATGCTTGATTTTGTCTTGAATTAGGGTTTTCTAAGTATTGGTTTTAGTCTTTCCATACAAACCCTAATTACTAACATTTGTATATAAAGCGATAAATTGCGGAATTTAAAGTTACTACGCTATTACAATATAAACCTAATTAATCTATTATAACCAAATTGAATTTGATATCAATGTACAAGGAAATTAATAAATATAAAGTACAAATGCAAATGGAAAAGAAACATGATTTTTGTCTGGATTTTTATGAAAAGAGGTTTTAACCTAACCCTAATTAGAGAAAAAGTAATTAACTAAAATTAATTAAATTAACTTAAACTAATTAAGAAAAGAAATTAAATTTGAAACATTTTTAGGTTTTTTAAGAAAAGGTTTTAAATTAAAATGATATAATAAATTAATTAATTAAAATAAACCTAAATTATAAATTGATTTTAATTTACAAGAGGATAATATAATAATTAAACCTAATTATCTAAATATTAATTAATTAAGAAAATAAATTAATTGTTTTTTTAAGAAAAATGTTTTTTAGTCTTTTTGTATTTATAAAGGAAATAAAATATAAACATATTATTATCTAAATAAATAAATAAATTATTGTTTTGGGATTTTTATTAATAATAATAATAATGATATAAATAATACTAATAATAAAAATAAAATATGAATTGAAATGAAAATAAAAGAAAAAATGAAATAATAAAAAATAAAGAGCCAGGGGGTGCATGAAGTAGGCAGGGAGTTAATTAGCAAAAACAAAAAAACACCCAGGCCCAAAGGGCCCAGCGCCTGCAAACAAAACAAATCAGAAATATCAAAAAAATATGGAAAATAAAAAAGGGTACCACTGGGGCTCGAACCTAGGTTCCATAGGTTAACAGGCGCGCGTTTTACCATTGGGGTAGCTATACATCCGTTAACTTGTATGAAATAATAAATACATAACACAAAACGCGCCCTGACTGTACTTCATCTTCAACCTCCAGCCAAAGGATCTGTAACTTTCTCATTTCTCAACCATTTGCAAAAGTGTAAACATGAAAATTGCTCCATTTTGTCACACGAATCCAAACATATAAATATCATAAACTATAAATAAAAGATGAATGATAATTTTTAACAGTACCAAATTCTGACCTAAATATTTCAGCAAGTTCCAACTCAAAATTCTCCTAGCTCAATCAAAATAAACGAAATCTATGGACATGTACAGTGTTGTACCCCAAAATTTGCCCTCGCATTTATCAAGATTTTTCTCACAAGACTTCTCGGACTCAAGACAAGATTAGGGTTTGGTCAGCTCAAGACACCTCATCTTGCACTGATAACCTGAAATTAGGGTTTGAGTTTTCACAAGTATTTTTGGGTCATCAATGCTTCATGTGACTTTCATACACCATCTTGGACCCCTAAGATTGCTCATGTTAAGTTTCAAGCCTTAAATCACATTTTTGCTCAGTCAATTGGACAGTTGACCTAAAAATCAACTGTATTGGGGAAAAAGTGAACCATGGCCAATTTATAGTCAAACTTAATAATTTTTGATCTACAACAACATTTTAGACTCATATGTATCATTTGATCAAGTTTGGATCACAACTCCTCAAGAAATTTGATCAAATCATCAAAAGGGCAAAATGGTCAAAATTAGGGTTTTGACTGAGAAAGGGCAATTTCTGATTTTTAACCTAGCCAATTACCAATTGGGTTCAAACATGATTTCAAGGGTTCAATGGCATCATCTTGACCTAATTACATAGTTTAAAAGATCTAAAGTTCATTGGATTGACAGATGAATTTTCCAGTCAACTGATCAAAAGTCAAATGTACACTGAAAAGTCAAACTTTGACTTTTTGGTCAAAATCAAGTGCCAAGGGTCATAATTCATCAAGATATGTATAAATATGAAACTTGTTCACCAAGAAAACCAATTTTGAATATTAGGGTTTTGAATTTGAAAATTTTCATAACTTAGATTTTTTCGAAGTATGGAAATTTTCTTATTTTTCCCCAAATTTTCACCACTTTTTCACCATGATGCAATTTGATTAAAAGAAAACTTCAAACATGAAAGTTGTAGTCCTCCATTAAATCTACAACTTTGATTCACAAAGTTTTTCCAAAAGATGCTTGGATCTCAAGTTATGAATTTATGAATAGAGGTCCATGAACTAAATGACTTAGTGAAATTTTGCTTGAATTTAGGCAGGTTTTTGACCCAACTTCATGGACATTTTTCACCTAGTTCCAAGAGGTATCTCAAAATGAATTTCAAAGATGGATTATAGAGCATGTTGCAAGCTTTTCAAAATGTCTAAGAACTCTCTAAGATCATTTGTGGTTAGGGAGAATCAAAGAAGAGAAATTAACATTTTGTCACTTTTGTTCAAGCCATTTTCACAAAGTATCAAGTTGCAAATCAGATCTTGGATGCTTGTACCTTGCTTTACAGGTCCTAAAATCATTCTACACTCCATAATTAAATGCAAACTCAGAAGTTAGAGGCTTTATCTTTGCTTTTGGAACTTTACACAAGTTATAATTCCATTTTAGGCATAAAGCTCTCATTGCCATTTTCATAAAGGTGAGATTTTGCAACATTATCAACCTTGAGCCTTGGACCTGTTCCTTTGGTACAAACAACTTCCACAGATATCAAGCAATGTATACCAACTCTCTGCAGCTAACAAGCCAGCCAGTACAAGCATGTTTAGTATGGTCACTTCACTTTTCTTCAAAAGCAAGAAAAGTTGAAAAAGTCCAAAGAACTTGTACAACTGATAAGGAGTGAACTTTGTATCATTTTATACATATTCAAAAACTTGTCACAACTCCGAACACAAATTGATAGCATCCAAAACACTCTCAAGCTCAAAAAACACAAAATTCTGCCCAAACATTGCAGTTCTGCAAAATCATTACCAACTTCATTTTGGCTCGTGCGTTTTGCCTTTTAACATTTGAAACACCTTCCATATATCCTACCAAAGCTATCCAAGCCCTTGTCCTGGTTCTGTGAGCTCTGTTTCAGCCATTGCCATTTTCAAATTTGGAGTTTGCAACTTGACTTGTGCAGAGACTTCTGGCCATCCACAAAGCAAGCTAGGCATTGGAATAGCTTGAAGGAACTTCAAGGAAGCTCACACGATCCTCAGGCCTCACTCAAAGTCCCCACATTGCCATATCCAAATCCAGCTGAATGAGGTATTTTTCAAAACTCTATCTCTCTATTTAGGCATCCTCAAGCCACGATTTGTGAAGAAAAAATGTAGCCCTTATCTTGGTGAAGCTGTACATATGCATACTTGTCATTTATATTAACTATGCCATGAGAATTTGAAGCTTGAAGTTCCTGGATTTTTTAGGTCACGAATTAGGGCTGATAAAATTCTCCTTGATCTTTTAGAGTTAGGTTACAAATTTTATATGGTTGGAATCGTGAGATTGAGTGCTACATTTTTTATGTTATGAGATTTTGTTTTTGTGCAAGCAACTGAGAGTTACAGATTTGAACATAACACGCGTGAAGGAGAAGGAGCTGGAGGACAGGGATGACTGTCTTTGGGCCTTGGCGCGCCTGGGCCGTCTGTTTTGATTTTTGCACCCCCTGACCACTATTTGCACCCCCTGATTCTTGTTTTATATTTTTTGCATTTTTCTTTATATTTTCATGTTTATTGCTTTTAATCATTTTTTCTGAACATTAAAAATCCTAAAAATTAATTAAATAATTTTTTGCAATTTTATTTTATTTTTTATTTTTTATTTTTTACAAAGAAAATAGCTTATTAGGATAATATACTTTATTTTCTTAAATAAATTTTAGATATATTTTAAAAATACTATACATTTTTATTATATTAATTATACACATAAAATATTTATTTTCATATATATTTTAATTTTTTAATATTTGTACATAATATTATTTATTATTTTCTTGTACAAAAATGGACAAAATAAATAATAGGAAACATATTTTTCTTTTAATAAAAAATTAGGGTTTCCCCCTTTCAAAAATAATAATATTATTTTTCCTTATTTTCTAGGGTTAATTAATTTTATTTTCTCATACCTTAAACAAATACAAAACATTTTTTCCATAAATACATC